GGTTAGAGGAGGAGCTGTTTCAAGCCCTGAATCTCCTTTGCTGGTCCCCTTAATGGCTGCTGTCACCACCTGCAGTTGCAGACATGTTGAGGAAGTTCCGACACATACCCCTCCTATGTAGTGTCCACCTGTGTGTTATGATGGGAGGTAAGGGATTAGCAGGGCCAGCTCCAGCGTTTTTGCCGCCCCAAATGGCGGGGGGGGAAAGCCGCGATCGGCACTTCTACCGCTGCCGCTTCATTCTTCAGCGGCAATTCGGCTTGCTGCACTGGTGGCTAGAGCCGGCCCTGGGGTTTAGCAGCAGCCTCAGGAGAGCTGCTGGGGAAAAACATTGAACCTAGGAGCTAGGACAGTCTTCTTACTAACCCAATGGCTTCGTTAATCATTTTGGATTAATCATTTGTTCAGGGCCGACTCCAGGGTTTTGGCCGCCCCAAGCAGCCCAAACAAACAAAAAAGCCGTGATCGTGATCTGCGGCAGCAATTCGGCGGAAGGTCCTTCGCTCCGAGCCGGAGTGAGGGATCGTCCGCTGAATTGCCACCGAATACCTGGACATGCCACCCCTCTCCGGAGTGGCCGCCCCGAGCACCTGCTTGACAAGCTGGTGCCTGGAGCCGGCCCTGGATTTGTTATAAGGAAGTGACCTCAAATCCTAGTATGGTGCTGCTATTTTGTGTATGAGATTCTTATTGAGGAGACCAGATTGTCCTCTTGCTGTGCTCTTGTACAACACCCCAGCATGCACCATGGGCGGGGGCGGGGGAGGGAAGGGAATGGCACAAATTAAGGAAGAAATTCCCTGCACCAGCATTCCATAAACTAATTATTCACCTGACAATAGTCTGAACGGGGAAAGGGCAGCCAGGCTGGGGCCCTGAATGGGTCCTATTGTAATGGCTCTGCATGGGCTGAGCTGCTCATGCAAAGGTAAGCCCTTAGGCTAGGGGAAGGGAAAAGGCTCTTTCTGGGAGCGGCCAATACCAGAACTGCTCAAGCAGGCAGGGGGTGACTTTAAAGAAAGCAGCAGGAATGAATAGCCAGAGAATAGGGAGATTTCTGGGCTGGGAGCTGCGGAGGAGTAATATGGATGTCTCCTCGGGTGAGCAGAGTTCTGTGCTCTGGAAAAGCCAGAACACCACCTCGCTATAAGCAGCACCCATTACTCTGCACCCTTCTGATGGGGATGGGTGGTGGAGAAAGGCATTAGTGGGAAACCTCTCATCTTACCACTGTTAGCATGTGTCTGAACAGAGCAAGGGAGTGAGTGAGGAGTATTTGGCTGGAGAGGGAAGGAGGGTGGGAGCCCTGCCAAAATGGTGAGGGAAGCATAAAGACAGCCAGAAGCATACAGCATGTGGTGTGTTTAGATACCAGCATTCATGCCCCTGTCTGTGGCACGTGCCCTCATGCACATACCTCTATATACCTTCACTCGTGAGCCTGCATGCAGAGGCCTGAGTGTACAAGTGTGCATGCAGGCAGAGACATAGACGTTTTTATTGCAGGGCCATCCAGACTGGCTCCAGCAGTGGCCAATACCTAATTCTCACCTTTCCCAGAATCCTTTCCTACTCCTACCTTCACTTCTGTTGTGCACCTGCTGTTCATTCACTACTGCTGCTCCTGTGGGGCCCTGGTGATTGCTTCCTGTCCAGTTCACACACCCTGCAGCTGGAGCTGTGATCTCCCTGATTGTCATCTCAGCTGCAGAGCTACAAATGTCATAAAATTCCCCAGCTCTGATTATGCCCCATGCAGTCTTATGTCACACAGCTGTAAATTCCATCTGCCCTAGAGAAGAGTTTCTTCTAGCTGGTTAATTCCAGCAGTAGGGGAGCTCTGATTCTTATGTTATAGGACTGGGTCAAAAGAAAGGCCCTTACAGGGCTGGGAGTGGAGTTGAGTCCCCTGCTCGGTATTCTACAGAGGCCAGGTGGACTGTGTGCAGATGGGTGGGTTAAGGGACAGTGTCCTCTGTCTGACCTAATGGCAGAACTTTCCTATCCAGACCAGTGGTTGGAGCACTCTGCTGAACTCCGGAAGAAGCCATGTTCACCCAGCTGGGAGCCAGGACTCCTGAGGCTGAATGATGAGTGGAGTGAAGGAAGGAGGGTAACTTTGCCCCATCCCAGTTTTTCAGCTGGACTCTGGCTCTGCTTGCAATCCCTGCTGTCCTTTTTCTCTTCTTTTCTGTGGGGCCGTGAGCTCTTCACATGCAAACTGACCAGTGATGGCTCCAGGCTTGCTGTCCTGGTTCTGCACCTGCTGCCTAAGTGCTGGAGGCGGAAGGCAGGAGCTTTGCTGGTACGGGATGGACACTGCATAGCTAATGCTAGGGAGTAATTAGTCCTCTGGCCCCCCAGCCAGTGACCCCAGCAACTTGAGGTGGGGAGGTGCCAATATAGCTAGCCAATAGGGGCTTCTGGGCTGAGCTGCCCTAGTCAGCCCATACAAGCAGCTCGGTCAAGGCAGGGGTCTCATATAGGCATCCTAGCTTCACCAACTGGTGCAGAGGTGCTGGGATTGGGGCGGGAGTGGTGATCTCTCTCAATTGAAAGGAAGGGGAGCGAGCGGGGCCTTCTGTGGTGTCTCTTTCCATAGGAGGCTCTCAGAGACCCTCACACACATTAAATATGGAAACCTCACAACCCCCATGGCTATTATAGCCAGTTATATGAGAGTAAACTGGTATCCAGAGGTGAAGTAGCTCACCCTGGGACCCAAGCTGGGCCAGTGGCAGAGCCAGGAGTCCTGAATCTCAGCCCCCTATTCTGATCACTGGACCCCACTCCCTCCCAGGTCAGGGCCTAGAAGCCAGGACTGCCAACTCACCTGTCCATGTTTTAACTCCTAGATAACACTTCCTTCTCAAAGGTGGTGGTGGGGAACAGAGATAGTCTGACTCCTCTGGCACAGTGGAACTCTCTACAGAGAGGGTAACGCTCAGCTGGAGGCCAGTTTGAGACTGGAATGAACTCCCACAGGAGCTAGAGCCCATCACAAACCTCACCACCTTTTGCTCCAAGTGCAAGGTGCCTTTCATTGACCTTGCCTTCTCTAACATAAATATGGAGCAACAGGTATAGTAAACAAAATAAAACCCTTCCAAAACAAAACACTAGGTGCATCTCCCCCAAGGATAGGATGAGAGAACAAACTACACATGATGCATCTGAAGAAGTGAGGTTCTTACCCACAAAAGCTTATGCTCCCAATACTTCTGTTAGTCTTAAAGGTGCCACAGGACCCTCTGTTGCTTTTTACAGATTCAGACTAACATAGCTACCCCTCTGATATCTGAAGAAGTGAGGTTTTTACCCACGAAAGCTTATGCCCAAATAAATCTGTTAGTCTTTAAGGTGCCACCGGACTCCTTGTTACACATGACAGACTCATGCTCGGCATAGCACTTAATGCACTACTGGAAGGTGTTCAGATCTGTGGTGATGAGTGCAACATAAGAACCTATACAGCAAAGACTTCAGGCTCTCTGCTCTCATCAGTGGCTGATGCGCCCTGTGCCCCCATGTCTCTGATGACTTGTGGCAAGGAAAGAAGCCCTGCTGGTGTGTCTGCAAGGAACAGTGCTGCTCCTTTCTCAGCCCAGAGGATGCAGCAGCTCATGTACTATGTGGGGGGTAGGGCAGCCCCAGCCCCCTCCCTGGTGCCCAGGAATGGGCTGCACATAAAGAAGCTATTAAGGAGCAATTGCATGTTTGAACTGGGATTTCATAAGGACAAGTAAGAGCCGCTTGGACTGGAGGTAAATGTCTTCCCTGGGGCAGTGATCTGTGCACATGTGGAGGCCCGGCCTAGCCCCGCAGCTATGCATTGCATTTGGAGGAGATGATATCTTTCTGGCTGGCAGGTCTGTGCTTGCTGGCTATGGTTTTACTAGTGCCTCTCACTCCACCCACCCACTCCCCTTCCTATCTCCTGTGCATCCTCCCAGCTGCTCTTCTGAAATGCAAAGTGGGGAGAGGGGCAGGTAGTGTCCGTGCATCCTGGGGAGAGGGGCAAGCCTGGCTTTCTTTCTGTAACCCTGGAGGCGGAGCAGGAGAGAAGTTGCAGGTACAGGCAGCCTCCGCATAGCTAGCATTCTGTTCCAAGCGTGGGCTCTTCAGATGGGCCCCTCTCCTCCTCTGCACAAGGAAAACCCGATCACTTCATGTTCCCATGCAGTTCAGTGTGCCAGGTTTTCCCACTATTCCTGGGCTGTCCGGGAGCTATTCTGCCTTTCTCGGGGTGTTTGCGGCAGTGCTGCTTTTTGCCCTTTAATTTAAATATAAGTGGAGGCCCTACGGGAGCTCAGACTCTGCCCTGCACCCTCTCCCCCGTCTTCCCTGTCTCCCTATGCTCCACATCCGAGCTCAGCCCTACCCTGAGGCACTGCAGGTGCTCCCTGCCTGGCTCAGCCCTGCCCTCCACAGCTGGGTTACAGGGGTTCCCCTTTCCCCCTCTGCCCTTCCGGCTGAGGGTCTCCAAGCACTTTGTAAATGCTCATTTAATGAATCCTCCCCCTTCCCATGAGAGGTGGGTAACACGAGCCCTACAGTGTAGACGGGGAAATGGAGGTCATGTGACAGAGCTGGGAACAGAGCCCCGGCAGCCTGATGCCCCCAGACCCCTGCTTTAGCCGGTAGCCCGCACCGCCTTTCCAAGCACTAGGGAGCCTGGTGCAGCACTGGGCGCTGATCCGGCCCTGGCGGGCTGCGCTCCCCTCTCATTGGAGCTTCGGGGCTGTCCCAGCCTTCCCCTCTGCAAACATTTGCTCCAGCCAGGTGCCCGGGCGCTGATTTTTCCCTGCGCAATCCCCCGCCCGCGGAGCGGGAGGAGACGTTTGAGTCAAGGTAGCGGGTGAGTGGGCGGGGCTTGGAAGGCAGCTACTGTAACTAACTTTGGGCCAATCCGGGTGCGCAGCAGGCTCCTGGCGCTGGGGCTCGTTAAGCAGAAAGTGAACTTAATCTCTTGGTTGGTTTGTTCTTTCTTCCCCCGTTAGGGCGGGAGAGCCGGGGCTGCAGGAACCAGGAGGGGGAAAGTGGCTGGTCTGAAAGGGAGGAGTGGGAAAGGAAGCCCCAGAAAGGAGCCGCGGCAGCCCCACACCGCACGCTGGGCTGGGATGACGAGAGGGGAAAGCCAGGTAAGGAGATCTGGGCCAGTGGGGAGCCACAGCAGGTGTGTGTGTGTGTGTGGGGGTAGGAGCTCTGTGGGAGGAGGCGATGGTGTTGGGGGGGAGGGAGATTGTGAGAGCGAGTGGTGAATGGGGCAGGGCATGGCGGGAGGGAATTAGTGGAGGCGATGGAGTGATAGCTGTTGCCCGTGGAGGGAGCTGTGTGAGCCGGGAACATTTCTGGCTAGAAGGGTAACTTGGAAGAGAAGTTGCAGACCCTTCTTTGCCGTGCTCCGTGGTTGTCCCCTGTGCTGTCCCAGGGCCAGGCTGTGGACAGGGAGTTATGCAATCTCTTTAGCAGACTCCCCTCCCCACCTCCTATTTCACCTTCACGATGGAGACAGCCAGCTGGAGATCACTGAGTGGGAATGGGAGTAGGTAAAGCTTCTCTCCTGAGTCTGGCCAGCCTCCCACTTGGCCTCATCCCCTGGGTGTCTCAGAGCTCTTTCTCCTCTGCCACCAGTCCCCACTGTGCCTTTCTGGTACGCTTGCCAAGCTGTTAATCCCAACGGGGACTAAATTTGCTGCTTTGAACAGCCCCATTTATCAGACCATTAAGGACAGCCACGTTGCCTGCAGCTGCCTGCTTACTGTCACTGACCATTAAGCTTGGTGAGCAATGATCTCGCATCCAGTGCCTAACACAATGGAGCTTGGGTGAAGGGCCCAAGCCAGACAAGAGAGAAGGGAGGAGGATCATGGCATTGGAACAGAACAGAATAAAGGTGACCAAAGGGCAGCCCACGGACCTGTAGTATGTAGGAATTGGGTAGTATCTCTTTAAATAGTTTGTGAGCCCTCCAGTGGTCCTTACTGTCTCATGTGTTTCAGATGTTGTTGTGTGTGTGTGTGTGTGTGTGTGTGTGTGTGTGTGTGTGTGTACACACACGTATGTACACACAGAATTCTAGAAATGTAGGGCTGGAATGGATCTCAAGAGGTCAGCTAGTGATTCTAGTCCAGCCCCCTGCCAAATAGATCTAGACTATCCCTGGCAGGTGTTTGTCCAGCCTGGTCTTAAAAACTTCCAATGATGGGGATTCCACAATCTCCCTTAGAAGTCTAGTCAGGACTTTAGCTACCCCTATAGTTAATTCCCTCCCCCCCCCCCCCCCCCAACTTATCTAACCTAAATTTCTGTTGCTGCAGATTAAGCCCATTACTTCTTGCCCTACCTTCAGTGGACATGAGGAACAATTTACTTCAGCCCTCTTTGCAATACCTCTTAACATATTTGAAGATTTATCAGGTTCAAACCCCTGCCCCCCACCCTCCACACACAAAGTTTTTGTTTCTCCAGATGAAACATACCCAGTTTATTTAACCTTTCCTCATAGGTCAGGTTTTCTAAACTTTTTATCATTTTTGTTCTACTCTGGACTATCTCTGATTTGTCCACAGAAAGTGTGGCACAATACTCCAGCTGAGGCATCACCAGAGCCAAGTTGAGCATGACAGTTACCTCTTGTGTCTTATATGTGACACTCCTGTTAATACATCCCAGAATATTATGGTTATTCGATCTGTATTGTGCCTGTGTAGTTCTTTCATATTGTGTTATGTAGAGAGCAAAAGACACAACAAGGCCAGACGAGGCCCTCCGAGATCTGCAGTGCAGCTGGTGTCCCTCTCTGTGTTTTGAGGGTGCAGCCTCCTGGAAACTACAAGTCTGAGCATGCCATGTACCCTCTTGCTCTGAGTGGTTGGCTGCATGGCACTCTGGGGAGCCTAGTCTCTGGGGGCTACACATGAGGACATCTGCAATCTGCTCCATTATATGCCCAATAGATTCAGCCCTTGGGCTTCTTGCATGTTGCCGACAGTCTTTGGCAAGGCAGAGTTTGATGTCCTTGGAGGAGAACCTAGAGCAGTGGTGGAGAACCTGCAGCCCACAGGCTGCACCCGGCCTGTCAGGGTAATCCGCTGGCAGGCTGCAAGACAGTGTTTACATTGACTGTCTGCAGGCATGGCCGCCCGCAGCACCCAGTGGCCACAGTTTGCCGTTCCCGGCCAATGGGAGCTACGGGAAATGGCGCGGTCCGCAGGGACGTGCTGGCTGTCGCTTCCCGCAGCTCCCGTTGGCCGGGAACGGTGAACTGCAGCCACTGGGAGCTGCAGGCAGCCGTGCCTGTGGACGGTCAATGTGAACACTGTCTCATGGCCCGCCAGTGGATTATCCTGATGGGCTGCAGGTTGCTCACCACTGACCTAGAATCAGCTGCCTGGTATCCCAGAGCGGGCGGGGTGTTGCAACATGCTTGTTCTGTGGAGAAGCCACCAAGATCTTGGCTACCCTTGAGGCAGAGCCTTTCTTGCATATTTCACTCTTTGCTCTGGAATTGAAAATGTCTATTTTAAAGGAAAAATGTCTCTGCCCCTCGGTGCTGTGAGGAACTGGGGGCTGAACCTGTTCTCCTCCATGGAGTGAACAACTTTCTCTTTGCTGCTCTCCTTTCCTCTTCTTGGGTGAGAGGAGCATCCTCGGCAACAGCTCCATGCCTCTCTGGGGTGTCTCCAGAGCTGGAAGCTTTTATACTGGAGGAGGCTGGGATCTTAGGCAGCCGTCACACAGGTGTCAATGACCACACAAGGTGCAAGGCAGAGGAGAACTTGGTCCCTGGGGTTCTGTAGGGAAAATGTTGGGAGGAGTAATGGGGGTTGAAGTTTCAGTGTTCTAAGGATCAAGCAGGGAAATGAGGGGAAGAAGAGGAATCAGCCACAGGTAGCTGTGGTGTTTGTCACGAGGTTTGGCTTATGGCCCTTGAGCCTAAGCAGAGGCCCCATCTAGTTGGTAACTGTCCCACAAGTCTGAAAATGAAGCATGCATCATTGGAGGCAGCAAGGCTTGGAGATTAGCTGAGTGAACAGCGGGGAGCTAAAAGGGGGGGAGAGGTGGGAGAGTCACATGAGAATCTCTGCCTCCCTCTAATACCTGCCAGTCATGGGTCAGAGGTGGGAGGGGGAGTGGGAGAGGGGCATGTGCTGCCAGAAGATCACTGTTGGAGGTGGGGGGGCAGAGTGTGTGTGTAGGGGGAGGGAATTCCCTCTTTTATGGTCTCCTTGCTAGCAGCTGAATTTTCATTGTTTGGCTCCTTTTGATGTGTCCCTCCAGAAGTAGGGATGTCTCTTGGCTTTTCTCCCCCACCCCCCTTTGGCTAACTCTCTCATTCCCATATTTCTCATGGCTGATTTATTTGCTTCCTGGGTAATACCTCTGCAGTGATGCCAGTGCTACTGGGGAGGCAGGATAGTTTGCTGCGGTACATGGCCAATCTTTTACTTCTAGCTATTTCAATCATGACTCCCCTGAGGGCTTGGACAGGGCTGGTGTGCAGCAACTGTCTGTAGCACTTCCAGTTGCAAAGGTAACATTACAAACATGACTTGAGTGTAACTGATGCAGTGACATTTGCTTGAGACTTCAGACAGCCCGAAACAATAGACCTGAGAGGCATGAACTCAAGGGGCTGTTAACCCAACAATGACAATTTAACTCACCATTGTCAGCTGTTTCAGGGACAGGGCAGATGTATTGTGATCTGCACAGTATACTGAGTGCCCCATTTTGCTCTCTCAAGTGGGTGGAGCTTTCCCCAAACCTCTGGTTTCCCCCTGGCTTGAAGCTGTTGTAAGGTGGGTCACAATCACATTTTGACCTGTGACTTAGCGGGTGCCTGTTTATCTGTGCTGATCAGGCTCTGCCCTGGCACAAGCACTAGGGTAAGTGCAGCTCTCTGACCAGGGACAAGCCTCTGAGGAGCTGGGGGTTAAAGTGCGCTGCAAGAGGGCTCATGTGACTAGTGAAATGAATTGGGGGAAGGGGTGTCTCATTCTAGTTCCCTGAGAACATTTCTCTGCCTCACCCACTTCCTCTCCCCACAGTGAAGCCCCGAGCTTCTCTGCGCAGGAAGCCAGGGGCTCCCTTTGGATCCTGGCAGTGCAGTGAGCAGCTGTCTGGGTGGTGCTGTGAGCTGTCTAGGGCTCTGCTGTCTCCCCGCAGGGGCTGAACAGGCTGCTCCCACAGGACTTCTAGCCCTGGGGGCAGGACACTCAGACAGGGAACTGAAGCTGGATCCACTGCTTGGGCCTATGGAACACAGCTCCCTGGGCTTGGACAAGTCTTCTCCAGCTCAGGCATGTAAAGGGGCTGCATGTCCCTTTAAGGTAGGAGCACCTGGCCCATGACTCCCAGTCGAGCAGTCAGGATCTTTACTCCACACAATGCCAAACTTTGTTAGAGCAGGTAATCCTCCACAGCCAGCAAGGGGAGGAGGGAAGTGTCTGGCTGTGAGTCCAGCCCCTACGTGGCCAGCTGGGAGCCAATCCAGGGATTGTCCTGGTTTTGTTCCACAGGAGCAGGTCAGCTGGATGGAGGAGGTTGGGAAAGGAGCCAGAGTGCTGAGTTTTGGCTACTTGCTTCTCTCTGCTTGGGTAAGGATCCCAGGGCAGTGTGGCCTCGGGCGCCTTGTCCTTGAGTCCGGTATCTCGGGAATGGTTGTGGGTCCGCCAGACAGAGTGGGGGAGGGGAAATTTGTTCTTTAACTCAAGGGCAGGTTTAATTAAACATCAAGTGATCTGGCAGTGGCTCAGAGCTCTGTGAGAGCAACTTACTAAACCCCAGCTTGTGCTCAGAAGCTGGCTGGGGGTTGGGATCTTGTGGGAGCCACAGGTTTAGGTCTGTGTGCTGCCTGCTGAGATTACTGAGGTGCCGTTGCTGGAAGTGCCCCAGCAGTAGGGCATCGCTTTAGCGCTTTCTGTAGGGATCAGTCTGGGAGGCAGTTTCTCTCTGATCAGATCTAGCCAGTTCCCAGTGACAGTCGTGGCCAAGGGGAGTGACACAAGGGGTGTAAGACATCATCCCACCTCTCCCTGCACACCTTTCTCAGGCCACCTCCTCACTGGCTTTGCAAGGTTGTGAGAGTGAGTGGATTCTCACTGGTGTCCCCATGTAGCAGCCCAATTTGTGGCATTCCAGGTGTTCACCGGAGTGGGTTTCTGTAGGTCCGTGTACTCCCTCTTCCCTGGCAGACTCAGCTTAGGTCCCTAGAATTCTGATGCCAGGTGTTGGGACCAGCCTGCTCCGCACTTGTCCACTGACAGCTTCTCACCAGAGGATCCCCTCATTTCCTGGAGGCCTCTCCAGCACAGCACAGACACTTTGGGCTAGTCTGTGTCTGAAGGGATTTAAAGCTGTGGAATGTTACCTGTCAATCTCTAAGTCAGCCTGGGGATCTGAGATCCCTCTCCTGTGCCCTGTAGGAGCGCTTCATCCTAGCTGGGGGGGCCTTGTGGGAGCGTGTGGCAGAGTATTCCCAGGGGAGGGTCCTCTGCTTTGAAGTGCCATCAGAGTGCTAAGCCATCTGAGGAAGAGGAGGGAGCATGGCCTAGTGATTAGAAGAGGGCTCTGAGTCAGGAGTCAGATCTCAGCTCAGCCAGCAACTCACTGCCTGTGCCTGGGTGAGTGCCTTCCCCTCTGTGTGCCATGGGGATGATGATCCTGATGCACCATTGGGGGGCTGAGAGGTTGGATGAATGGAAATTTGTTGAGGTGCATTCATGGGGTACTGGAGAAGGCAGAACAGTTGCTGCTGCGGAGCTGAAGCTGGATGTGGTCTGCAGTCTGGCTTCTCCTTAGCTAGGTCAGATTGTTGCCAGCTTTGGGGTAGCATTTTTCGGTCTCTGCTTAGTAATTGGTACTCACTCAGATCCTGCAGTGACAGCCTCAGTCTAATAATAATCAGGGACCAGGCAGGGTGCTGCATTGAACAGTAACAAGGGGTAAAGCCAGCAACGCTGGAGCCTTCATCAGTGGGTACAGGAGGCAGCGTCTCCAGACTCCCCTAGTCTGTAATGCCTGAGTGGGGTGAAGGGTGCCCTCTCCGCATGCCTGGGAGAGCTATGCTGGAGCTGGTTGCACAGCTGCTTCACCCAGAGATGCTGAGCAAGTGCCATCCTCTGTGCCCAGATGTTGGACTGAGAGGGGCAGAGCCCTGAAGGCTTGTGCCTTGGCTGTGTCACTTCCATGTGCTTCTCCTCCACTGCAGGCTCTAGGATGCTGGGGCCAGCTAGGCTAGACCTGCCCACGTGATCCTCACTGCTTCCAGCCCTCGCCCTGCCTGCCCATCATGCTGCGCTCCTGGCGTGGAAAGCTGAAGCTGCTGCTCGCCACTGCAACACTGGTGATCCTTCTCTCGTGGCTCTGTGTCTTTATGGGCAGTTCAGAATGTGAGTGTGGCCTGGCTCTGGGTTGAGGTACGGCCCAGGACAGGGAAATGAGCAACAGCACACAGCTGCCAGCCAGGGCTCTTGGCTTCTGGCTCTATCACTAACTTGCTGTGGGCCCAGTCCTTCCCTCTCTCTACCTCAATTTCCTCATCTGCTGTAACATGGGGTGATGCCCCTGCCCTGTCTCTGGGGGGCTTGTGAGGACAAGTACATTACTGTGTATAAAGCATTATGAGTGGAGGTGGAGCTAGGAGAGGGGCTTAGAGATGGACACAGTGGCTGGGATCCAAAAAGGTTTCAAGGCTGAGCATCACAGGTGCTTAACTTCTACGTGTGTAGAAAATCACAGGAACAACACTGTGATCTACAAAGCCTGGGCTAGGCACCTATGCTCCCTATGCAAGAGCTGTGGAGAGCTGGATGCCTTACAATTGGATCCACAAAAGCCAGCATGCTAGGCTGGGAGCCACCTCAGCTAGCCAGTGGGAGATGCTGATGAGAGAGGTGCACTAAGCCCCAACCTCCCACAGAGATAGGTGCCTGGGCTGGGCTGCAGGGAGGTCCTATCTCTGCCTGTGATCCAAACCAGGGGAAGATAGGTGCTCCTGTGCCTCACTGGTGTGTGGGCCTGATTCGATAGGCCTGCTCAGAGGTCACTTAATTCCATTTCAAACAGCAGGGGGGAGGGAGCGGAGGACGTGCTCCCTCATAACCTGGTTGGGTGCTCATCTGGGACGTGGGAGACCCCTGGTTCGAAACCCCCCTCTGCCTGAAGAGAAGCGATTTGAACAGGGATCTGCCACTTCTCAGGTGAATGCTCTAACCAGTGAGAGAGAAAGTGATTCTCACTCTCTCTGGCCCAATTAATGTTTGTTTAAAGTGGAATAACTTCAATAGCCGAGATTGAGGGAGATGCACATCAGAATATTGCCCACCCCCCACAAGCTGTTGATTGGAGTTAGGTAGCGTCTGAGCTTCTACTGGATCGGGCTGTGCATGTAATGCAGGTGGCCCAATGCCTGGTTTGTGAATAGTCAGGTGTCCGGAGCCTAGAGGGAGGCAGCTATGCACATGCCTCTGCGGGGATTTGGGGCATTCTTTCTCCACAAATGGCTGTCCCCAGCCACCGGTGCCACTCCCATATTATCCCCCTCCCTCCCCAAGCCCTACACTCACTGTAGCTTTGGGGTGCTCTCTCCCCACACATGGCCAACTGTTATCTCTTCTCCCTTCCCATTTCCATGCTCAGGGGGCAGTGCATGGGGTGCTGTCCCACCATGTCCCGAGGTGTGAACTCTCAGTGATTTGGGGGGCTCTCTCCCCACAGATGGCCGTTCCCTCCTATTGTCTCCTTGCTTTGGGGACCGGCCGAGCCAGGACCTGGAGCGAGAGGCCTTGGCATCTCAGGTGCGCAAGGTGGAAGAGGAGAACCTGCAACTACGTCTGCGGCTCAGCCAGTCTCAGGGACAAGCTGGGGCTGTGGACGGGAGCGATGGCAGCCAGCAGTGGGCAGCCTCCTTTGATGATGGGGACACCCCAGGGGATGACAGGAGCAACCGCACGGGTTGCCCCAAGCAGCAGATGGTGCAGAAGTGTGAGGTGAGCGAGTACTGCCGGCTTCATGGCGCTGTCCTGCACATGTGGCTGATGACACTGGGTGCTGAGGGTCCCCATGGCCTAGGGTAATGGCCTGAGTCCCTAGATTCATCCACCTCTGCACAGCTGCCCGAGTGCACTGGCCATGCCAGGGCCTCCCCCTTGCTGTCTGCTTTGTTCATGTCTCAAAAACTTGGGCATTTTATTTGCAGTTAAGGGTGTGATGCTGACAGCCAAAAGAATGATCCCTTCTTGCCTCCGGCTGGGAGATGTTAGTGCCCCACCTCAGTGCCTCAACATATGTGAGCATACAGGTGGGGAGGTAGCACCAGGACTCCTGGGTTCTCTTCCCAGCTCTGCCACTGACCTGTTGTGTGATCTGGGTCAAGTCCTTCCTCGCTCTCTGCCTCAGTTTCTCCACCTATCACCTGTAGATAATGACTCTGACCTGCGTCCCTTGGGGGCTGGGTTGCTGAGGCTGTTTCTGTGTGAGATGTGCTGCATGAGGTGAGATGGGCAGGTAGGAGAACTGCCTGACCAGAATGTTACGCAGCCGCCATCGCCATCTGCCTTGGGAGGAGAGGACTCTAATCAGCGCCAAGATCCTGGGGTGGGGGGATGATACTATGAAGTGTTATTGCCCCAGAGGCTGCTGCATGCTGGACAACCCTTGCCCCTGGGGTGCTGCTTTGGGCAGGGCTGATGGTGCCTTCTGTCTCTGGGCAGCTCCTGCACGTAGCGATTGTGTGCGCTGGTCACAATGCGAGCCGAGACGTGGTCACCCTGGTGAAATCCATCCTCTTCCACAGGTAACCCAGGCGGCCATGCTGGGGGAGCCTGTGCTACGTTATGCTAATTTATACAGGTTCTTACACTGCACTTACCCTGTCTTCAGGGGCTGGTGGGCTTCTGTCTGCATTTTTGACCCATGTGTTTTGGGAGTTCAGGTAAAATGGGGATCAGATATGAACCACTCCTGCAGCTTGACTCCCCAGTCACAGAGCAGTGTGGGAAGGGGAGGTGTGCAGCTGGGAAGCCCAGGTTGTGGTGGTGGTGGGGAACTTAACCTGTCCCTCCTCCCCAGTCACAACTCCCAGGATCCTGTGTTACTGTGATCAGTGTTTGAGGGTCCCATGTGAAGAGGGCTGTGCTGTCTGAGTAGGGGCTGAGTGAGGTGGGGGGTGGTGAAGGTGCTCTGGGTCCCACCTATCATCTGCTGGAAGGTGTGGATGGGTCTGTCCTTGGTTGACCCTGGCTCAGGATGGGGCATCTTCTCCCGGATACCACCAGCTTTGGTGGTGGAGGAAGCTGTCCTGGGCTCAGTGGATCAGGCGGGATCTCTGACAGCTGCCTGCATTTCCCCCTGGCAGGAAGAACCCTCTCCATTTCCACCTCATCACGGACTCAGTGGCTCAGCAGATCCTGCAGACTCTCTTCCAGTCCTGGATGGTGCCCTCCATCCACGTTAGCTTCTACAACGCAGACGATTTGAAGGCAGGAGCCCCAGATCCCCTCCTCCCCCCACTGTTCCTCTTCCCCCTTTCTCAGCTTCTCTTTCCAGATGCAGTATTCCAGGGAAGTGAGCAGCCCCTCAGGGAGGTGAGGGGGTGGGGAGTGGTAGAGAGAGTTCACCAGACTAACAAAGGGTCCTGTGGCACCTTTAAGACTAACAGAAGTATTGGGAGCATGAGCTTTTGTGGGTAAGAACCTCACTTCTTCTCCTTGCATCTGAAGAAGTGAGGTTCTTACCCACGAAAGCTTATGCTCCCAATACTTCTGTTAGTCTTAAAGGTGCCACAGGACCCTCTGTTGCTTTTTACAGATTCAGACTAACACGGCTACCCCTCTGATACTTTTCACCAGACTATTAATGCTTTTGCTGCTGGCCCCTCTCTCATCTGCTCTTCTTCTGGTGTCTATTACCATTTGACTGATACGGGGGCACTTGGTTGGTGTGGGGGTTGTGAAGGGGCCTTTCTACTCCACTTTGGCTCTGGTCTGTAGTAGCTGAAAGCTGCTCCCTTCTGCGAGTTCCCAGGTGGTTCCTGTATGAAGGAGCTTTCTGTATGGCAAGTCTCAGACCCATTCCTAGCAAGCACATGTCAAAATGACACAAACACTAGCCCAGGTGATGCTAACTGGTCCCGTGGTTGGCAATTGCCTCAGAGAGCCAGGTGTAACTGGGCCATGCACTCTCACCTAGACACGGCCCCTCCAAAGCAAGATGGGACTCATTAGCTTGGATATGAAACAGCTAGAGTCAAAACTGTCCACAGAAGCAGTGGGGCATGCTAAGGGGCAGTGGGAAGCCTAGGTATCAGAGTTCAGTCTGGTCACACACAATCGTGCACAGATGATGGGGAACAGGGAGGAGCTGTGGACAGAGCACAGAGAAATATCCTAAAGGGCTCAAAAGAGAACAGGCATGTGGGCAGGATTAAAGTGAGATTCCGCCTCAGGAAATACTGCTAATACATCAGGGGAAATATAACCTGAAACCCAGATCCTTGATGAGAGGGGCTGGCAGAGCCTGGGGAGAGTGGGGCTGTGATGGGACAGAGCTGCACAAAGACCACTGCACCTGAGGGCTGCGTACTCAAGATGGTTTGTGTCCCAAAGCTGGGAGGGGATAGCTGCTCTTTGTATGGCTCTGGAAACCTCAGTCCCTGGGGTATCTTCTCACGGAGCAGGGAGGAGACACTCAGCAGGTGACATTGGTCCTGAGGGGCCCAGAGCTGAGACACAGACGGGAGGAAGTGCCAGGAAGGGCAACAGGAATGAACAGGGAGTTGTGGAGAGCGATTAAAGAACGGAATCCGTCCAACTTGGCTAGTGACTGTAAGGAGGGAGAATGTGGGGATGGGGGATATCTGGATGTGTAAACCCCAGGGGAGGGGGGGGAGATATTTTCAGGCCGATACATAGGGTGCAATGCGGGGCGGGGCAGGGCAGGGCAGAAGGAATCTTGACTGAGTCTCAGGATGGAGACATCCTGACACTCGCTGGGGGGGAGGAGCCCATTGCTCAGCTGTTGAACACTAACTGGCACAGACTGTGGAGAATGGGCTGTAGGGGTCAGTCCTTTGTGGGCCCTGGGAGCGTGACTGGCTGCTCTCCTGGGCCTTTTCCATCTTTGCTGCCTGTGGGGACATTGAGTGAGTTGGTAGGGAGGGGGTGAGGACAAGATCCATGGAGGTCTCTGATTCCCATCTGCCTTAAACACTTCAAATGGAAAATACATTAGCACTAAGCTTGGAATCTGTGCGCCCCCTGGTGGCAGCTGCCATAGTGGATGCAATCTGTGGAACAGGCCCTGTGTGGAGGCCTGAACAGCTGGAATGTTGTACAGTGTGCCAGTAAAATCCCCCATGTTATATCCCCTGAGATCCCGGGGGTGTGCCTCTCACCCACATGTGGAATGCAGTTGCCTTGCCTTGCTAGGACTCACTCATGCCTCCTGACGGTTCTGAAGCTCTGTGGCACAGTTGTGCTGCCTCGTTAGGCTCTGGGGCAGTGGAGGTTGGATTTGGGGAAAGGCCACACCACTTTACACTTCTGTTTCCGGGGGAAGTGTTGGCTTTGTGGTACAGACTCGGTGCTGTGTGCCTAACCCCACAGGTATTTGGGAATGGCCATATCCTGGTCCTGAGGGCTCCTTCCCTCCCTGTTGCAGGCAGAGGTGTCGTGGATTCCCAACAAGCATTACTCTGGGATTTACGGGCTGATGAAGCTGACGCTCACTAAGGCGCTGCCCTCCAACCTTTCCAAAGTCATTGTCCTGGACACAGACATCACCTTTGCCACTGACATCGCTGAGCTGTGGGCCGTCTTCGGGAAGTTCTCCGGTGAGGGGGAGTTGTGGAGAGGAGGGGCCTTGGGACCAGTTGAGTAGCTGTACCTCTGGGAGAGGAGCCAGGCCCATTGCCCTGGCTCCTCTGAAAACCTGCGTCCCCTTGGCATTGGGTGGAGTTTAGGAATCTGTTCTGCTTGGCTCTCCCTGTCTGTCCTCGTCAGCCACTTGTGGGCAGGGGGAGGGGGTGCATGGATTTGTGGTGGGCACATACTCCTCTGGTGAGGTGGATCTGTCTCACTTTCCAGACAAGCAGGTGATTGGGCTGGTGGAGAACCAGAGTGACTGGTACCTGGGAAACCTCTGGAAGAACCACAAGCCATGGCCAGCGCTGGGACGTGGCTTCAACACAGGTGAGCCCAGAGCATGCACAGGTCACTTCTGTTGGGTGGGGGTTTATCCTGTCTCTGTCAGTGGTGAGGTTGGTGCAGGGCAAGACCCCCAGCATGTCTGGGGGACGGGGCTGGGATGAGGAAGCGCCTTCTTCTGCTCATTCCTGTTAGTCTTGCTGGTAGAGAGGAGCTGTTGCTGTGACTCCCATCCTGTTCCAGAGAAATGCTGCCGCTGTCCCCTGTGACTTGGGGAGCAAACTGCCAGCAAATCCACTGGGAATTGAACTGTGGGTGGCCTTGGCCACAAGGGGCTGATGGCAGGTGTCCCCAGTAGCTCTGCCTGTGCCTCTCAGTCGTGACTGGTTGCCATTCCTTGCTGTTCCAGCATGGGGCCTCTCTTACAGCCTGCCACTCTGATTTTATAATAGGGATAAGTGGTCCCAGGGAGCTGTGCTGAGACCCCTTAAACTCCCGTAATGTGTCTCTCGAGTCTGAACTAGAGCCCCATGCCACATGTGCCAGCCTTGCTCCTTGGCTGCCAGTGCTGCACGGCCCTCTGCTGCTTCCCCAGGGGTGGTTTCTTAGGGTCACTCAGTGGCACCCCCCAGAGGTGACTGCTCCCCTAGGCCCATCCTTTAGTGACTGAGTGTGAGTGACAGAGCTGCCCAGGCCAAATCAGAAAGCTTGTGAGGTGAGATCCCCCTCTCCCCCCACTCCCTGTACTCTGGGAATCCTATCAGAGGTGAGTTCCCAGGACTCCTCCAGCAGGAGATGCTGTTGTTGAGAGGGGTGTGGGACACAGGGATGCCATGTCCAGGCTAGCCAGTAAATCTAGAATCCAATCCCTGTCTGGGACACCCAGCAAAGGGCCTTGCTGTTAGAGAACTTGCTATGGGGATGGTGTCCCAGAGCATTGACCTAGTACGCTTCAGAAGGGACTGGCTGGAGCTGAGCTCAGCGATGGCTTAAGGCTGGATCAACTGCATCAAACACAGCGCTGGGTTGGCTGGTGCCTGTGTGATGTGGGGACATCTGTGACCTCTCCTCCCCCTCTTCCCAGGGGTGATCCTGCTGCTGCTGGAGCGCCTGCGCCGGATTGGCTGGGAGCAGATGTGGCGGCTGACAGCGGAGCGGGAGCTCATGAGCATGCTGTCCACCTCGCTGGCAGATCAGGTATGGAGCCAAGCTGAGTTCCAGCCTGCAGGCTCTTCTTTGACCCCAGCTCCTACTCTTGGGCAAACTATAGATGCAGGAAGCTGCAGGTGGGGGAGCAAACGCTAGGGCTATGGGATGCTGCTGACACTACAGACAACAAAGGCTGTGAGTGGATGCGCTGGAACCCATGTTAGAGATCTGTAACCTTCGGCTCCATCAGCTCAGGCTTGGTCCTGACCTGCAGCATTCCTTGTATTTCAGCCCTGGACACCTCCCGAGCAGGGTCTGGTTACCATGTCCACCTGTAGGGTGGTTGTATGATATGGATGATACAGAGATCCCTAGTCTGACCTCCCTTGTCCTCTCAGGGTTTCCCCTCCAACCCTCAGGGGGGTCTCCAGAGGTGCCCAGCTCCCCATGTGCTCACTGGTGATTCTCTTCCAGGACATCTTTAATGCAGTGATTAAGCAGAGCCCAGTGCTGGTGTACAAGCTCCCCTGCTTCTGGAACGTGCAGCTGTCCGACCATACCCTCTCAGAGCAGTGTTACTCAGAGGTCTCTGATCTTAAGGTGGGTCTCCCGGTCCCTGGCTGGGGCCTTTCCACATTCCTAGGAGGAGCTGTACTGGGCCCAGGAGTCTTGCATCTCCACTGCTGCAGGCACTGAACCCTCCTGGCCTGGAGGATGGGGTGTTGGGTCCTGTGGTGCAGCTTGCACCCCAGGCCTGGTGGGTGGCTGGTGGTAGATCCAATGGGGGTGGGGGAATACTGTGTCCCTGACGCTCCAGCCCATCTTTTTCAGGTGATCCACTGGAACTCACCCAAGAAGCTGCGGGTGAAAAACAAGCATGTGGAGTTCTTCCGGAACCTCTACCTGACCTTCCTGGAGTACGATGGGAACCTGCTGCGCAGGGAGCTCTTTGGTTGTGCCAGCCTGCCCAGCCCACCCAGAAACCAAGTGAGCCCTTGCTGGTTGCTAGCCGCACCCCTGATCCTCACTTGCCCTTAACATGTGGGAATGGGACATTCCGTCCCCCGAGCAGGCTCCATCCATGCCATCTCCTGGGACTCTGTCAGGGCTCTGCCCAGTCTAGTTGAAAGCATCCCATGTGTTCCAGCTGCAGCGCCTGCCTGCCCCCGCCTCACCCCTGCCCCTGCGTGTTTTCTAACACCAGTCTGGCCCCTGCCCCACTTCATTCTTATGTTCTAGCTGCAGCAGGCCCTGGAGGATCTCGATGAGGAGGACCCCTGCTATGATTTCCGCCGGCAGCACCTTATGCTCCACCGCATCCACCTGTTCTTCCTGCAGTATGAGGTCCTGGCCTCACCTGACCCTGCTGATGTCACCCTGGTGGCCCAGCTCTCCATGGACAGGTACTTGGCAGGGACTGGGATGGAAGAAGGGGTGGCTCCCACTGCTGAGGATGGAGGAGCTGTGGGCTCTGTAAGCTGGTTCATCAGCCCAGGAACTTCTGTACGCGGAACTTTCAAACTGACCCAAGGTTAGCTCTGCACTGATAGAAACATTACTTCTTCAGGGGGTGCAGGAGACTGTCCTTGTAGAGACTGGGGCTCAAATGGGAGTCGTGCCACAAATGAAATGTTTGTATTTTGATTCTGGGATTGCAAAATCACACTTCACCTCAGAATCATGCCCCAAAACCTGAACCTTATATTTAAAAAAAAAAAAAAAAAAAAAAGTTTCTAGCCCTCCTGGCTGCAAAGAAAACCTTGTAACTACAAACCTAGTGTACCTGATGCAGCAGCATCTGCCTGAGTTTGCAGCGAGCCTGAAACACCAGCTGCAAGAGGTATGAACTGCTCCTTCATCTTAGTGGGGTGTTAGCTGTGAAACCTAAATATGAAATTACCAGGGTTAACAGTGTTAATTATTTAATTGGTGAACATAGTAGCAGAAATAGGCAATGAATGTGCTTATCCCACAATTCCAGACTCCCTCCCCACATGCCAAAAGCCCCATAAATAGCCGTTTAACTCTCCAACTCCCCTGATTTCTGTAGTGCAGTTACATGCTAACACACACATGCCTGTGGCATGTCAAAACCAAAAAGGCGGAGAGAGTAAAATAAATTGAATTCAATATTAAAACAACCACCACAAGGGACTGCTGCACTCTTGGGATGAGTCATTTTCATGCGTAATTAAATAAAAACCTGCACTCTGGAACGTGCCTGGAGCTGCCACAGAATTCCCAGCAAAGGCCACAGAATGTAAGGAACTTGCTATAGAATCCAGGTTGTTTGCTGTGGAGTATGCAGCAGGGCCTTGGACGTTATATTCTGTGGTAGCTTGTTGAGGGGGGGATAAAAAGGGGGTCAGCGGCAGTAGGGCAAGATGAGTGGCATCAGCACTGCAGAGTGGGAGGCTTAGTCAGTCTCTTCTGCTTGGCTGTGTCCACTGCTCTTTCCTGCCTGCTCAGTTAGCTGGCGCTCTCCCCGTGTGTCTGGCTCTGGCACGGCCAGTCTCATGCGGTTTCCCTTCGGCTTACAGGTTACAGATGCTGGAGGCAATCTGCAAACACTGGGCAGGCCCCATCAGCCTGGCGCTGTACATGTCTGATGCAGAGGCCCAGCAGTTCCTGCGCTATGCCCAGGGCTCGGAGGTGTTGAGCAGCCGCAGGAACGTTGCCTACCACATTGTGTACAAGGAGGGGCAGTTCTACCCTGTCAACCTGCTGCGCAACGTTGCGTTGACCAATGCACAGACACCCTATGTCTTCCTGACGGACATAGACTTCCTGCCCATGTATGGTCTCTACGATTACCTCAGGTGTGGCCCTCTCCATCCTGCCCAAGCTAGTCATTCACCCCAAGGGGCCCAGGTGGGATGGTTCCCTCCAGGCTGTTACCCAAGGTTCAGTCTAGTTCACTGTGTCCCAAACGATGGGGCTCCCAGCCCTTCCCTCAGGAGGTGATTTCCCCAGCCTGGGAGCTCTTGCTCTCAAGAAGTTTCTCATTCTGTAGGCACAGGCTGGGCTTGGACCCTCTGGGAGGGTCCTGCTGTCACATGGGAGAGAGAACCCTTGCTTGGGGAAGGAGATGCCCCTTCTGCACCACTGGTGCATGGGGTGCTGCATCCTTTCTCTGCATGGTGGAGCCCATGGGCCTTTAGACTCTTCCCCCCCCACCAACCTCACACTAAGAAAAGACAGGATCCTCTAGAGCCTGCTGATGCCCTTCCAGCGTCTGCTAAGGGGGCCCAGGAACACAGATGTGCGTAGGGCTCTTAGCTCCTAGTGGGTGGCCAGTGGTGTGCGTTGCAGTCACCTCTTGCTGTCTCCACGCCATCCTAGCGAGGCCTCATGCTCTCCCCTGCCCTGCTCCAGGAACTCCATCCGGCAGCTGGAGCTGCCCCAGCGGAAGGCAGCGCTCATTGTGCCAGCATTTGAGACTCTGCGCTACCGTCTTGCCTTCCCCAAGTCCAAAGCGGAGCTGCTCTCCATGCTGGACATGGGCTCCCTCTACACCTTCAGGTAGGTGCTGGAGCCACTCTCCTCCACGCCGCAGGGCCCAGGCCACAGGCAGCAGGAGGCTCTCTGGTCCCTCCCCATTCCTAGGGGCTGTGGTGCAGCCCAGACCCAAGCACCTCTCATGTCATCCCCCATCCTCTCAGTCTGTGCCTGTATCTCTGTTCTGAAGCTGCTGCCCTACAGGTAGTGAGAAGAGTGTGCATCTCCCTGTAACCCCAGGGTTCACTGCGCCGCTGGCCTCCCTTTGCAATTTGTCTCTGGGACCTCTCTGCGTCACATCTATCGGGTGCTTCATTTCTGTCTCTCTCTGAAGGTACCATGTGTGGCCAAAGGGCCATGCCCCAACTGACTATGCCAAGTGGCGGACAGCTACGGTGCCGTACCGTGTGGAGTGGCAGCCGGACTTTGAGCCTTACGTTGTAGTGAGGCGTGACTGCCCCCAGTATGACCAGAGATTCGTAGGCTTTGGTTGGAACAAGGTGTCCCATATCATGGAGCTTGATGCCCAGGTGAGTGAGGAGCCAGTGGAACTTCCTGCGCCCAGACTCTGCTTTGTCCCTAGGGATCCCATACTGCTGCCTTGGGCAGGTGCCTTCTGGGTCCCTCCCAGCACAATGCTTCCTTTGAGCTAAGCTTTGCTGCCCCTGAGCAGGTGATCTGGCCCCCATGGGTGTGGTCAGAGCCCTGCTCTGTGCCTGCTTGCTGACCTCCTGCTTCTTCCCAGGAGTACGAGCTGCTGGTCCTGCCCAATGCCTTCATGATCCACATGCCTCACGCCCCCAGTTTTGACATCTCCAAGTTCCGCTTGAGCGCTGGCTACCGGGGCTGCTTGCAGACACTGCGGGAGGAGTTCCACCAGGACCTGTCGCGTAGGTATGGCGCCGCCGCACTCAAATACCTCACTGCCGAGAGGAGCCTGTGATGCCGAGGGACAGCATGGCGGTGGACTGGAGGGGGAAGGGGACAGACCCCTTCCTTCCTACATGGCTCACTGCCTGAAAGGGATCAAACCTGCAGCACAGTTTCCCCATCACAGGAACAGTAGCTCCCACTGGGGATGGAAAGAATCAAGAGAAAGGGGCTCTTAGGAGCAGTTTAAGTGGCTGAGGGAGCAGAGCCTCAGGGCTGAGGGTTTCCTCACAGCAGCTGAAAGCCTCACCCAGAGACAGGACAACATTGCTAAACTCCCAGCAAGGGGGCTACCTGGAGCCTATTTCCCACTTCAAGGGCCATGGTGGGATTAGTCCCTATCATTCAGTTTCCAGAGCTTTGGCTAGTGTGAATGACCCAGTGATGGGGCTCCCATGCAGTCCCTTGGGGCACTTGCCAGAAAGCTTTACCTGATGTTCTGCAAGATGCTCCCTTGCTTGGTTTCATCAGCTCCTCCCCTTTGCACCCTCTGGGCTTTGCCTCCTTCAGAGCCCTGCAGTTATTGCTGTCAGGTGTAGCTTAGCCCTGCAAGAGAGGCTGAACTTAATTCCTTCTGATGAACCTCTTCTTCCCCTTCTCTCTCCTCCTCCTCCCCCCCCACCCCCCCGTTGTGATTACTTGTCTGACCTCCTTCCCTGTGCCCAGATGGGACTGAAGCATCCCCATGTTTCCCCAAGGGGATGATGGCCTGTAGAATTGGTCTCCTAGGGCATGCCTACACTGCTGTGAAACGCACAGCTGCAACGGGGTGCAGGGCTATAAAATTGCAGTGTAGATGTTGGAGCTGAGGCTCTGTGACCCTTCCTGCTTGTTTGCAGGTGGCTGTATAGGCACACTTGTGCACAATCTTTTGCTGGCTGAGGGTCTGTACACAACAACACCTGCCAGCTAAGATCCCTGCATAGGCACTGCCTCTGGCCAGCCTATACCACTAACCTTCATGGCCATCTTCCCACAGAGGAGGGGAAGTCCTGTCCCTCTTCCCCACGCTGTCTGGACGGGATCTCAGGCTGCTGCTGCTTGGTGTCACATCTCCGGATTCTCCCGCATGTGGCTAGTGAGGGTTGGTGCTGCAGGTCTGAGGCCCTAGTCAGCTGCTGGGGCTAACAGCAGGTTTGGTTCTGGTCTGTGTCTTGGAGCTGAGCCAGTATTGGATGTATTGCCAAATTGTGGTGCCTGTTGTAATAAAACCATCCAGTCCCTGCCACTCTGGGAGTAGATAAAATTGTCCCCTGGTAGCCACCACCTGCTCGGAGAAACCTCTCTGAGGGTCACTTCCAAGTCTCAGAAGGAAAGAGCCTGAATCTCAGTAATACTGACATTGACAATCAGGGACACAGTTGACATTGTAGCTGGGTGCCATGGTCGGAGCCTGTGCTGGGAGCAGCTTCGGCCAGGTGCTTTTCCACAGTCGTCACACACTGGAGCACGGAGGCACAGTTGCTTTCCTCACTCTCTATTTAAGTTATTTAAGATGATTTCTCACAGGATGTAAATGATTAGGAGGGCCTGGGGTTTTTAGCCTCTCTCTTACTTCAGAACCATCAGCAAGGATCTTCAGGCCCATCATTGCTCGACTCTGTTCTTCACTTACTGGCATTAATCTGAACCGCAAGAGCCGCTACCGTGCTGGGAACTCTTTGTATGGAAAGGGCACAAGTGTCTCCGGTAACTTTTAATTAAAGCTTTTTTTAAAATTCTTTTTCAAATCCTTGGGGAGCCATGTGGTTATTTTGTCACATTAGGTCTGATGCTGGGATTGGGGCAGGGCTTATAGGCAGGTAGGAAATGAGGGCAAGGTCACTTCCCCAGGAGAGAGGGTTGTGGGAGGAGCTGATACTGCATCACAAGCTTGTGGAGGGATGGCAACTACAGTGTGTACAGAATGGGGATTTAAAGGGTTGGGGACAGCAGTGACAACAAGCTGTAGAAATGTCAGCTCCACTAAGCAAGAGAGAACTCATCCCCTACCCAGAACTGGACTGTCTGGCATTTATTAACACCAGGAAGATCAGTTCATTGTCTACCAAAGTATTGTGGTGGTGGGTGGCTCCTGTTATGCTTTGGCTGAGAGAGCACAACTGCTCTTTCAAAGTGACTCTACTATTATTAACAAGAGTTCCTTCTTCCTGGCATCCTCACAACAAAAGCTGAGACCAGCAGAAACCACCTGCCCATAGCAGCATGTGCCTAAACTTGAGCATAACTAAAATCAAGCTAATCTTGTTACCTAGCATCTGTGCTAGGAGAAATGGTGATCTAGCACGTTAGCTAAGCCTACCTATACTTGACCACTTTTCTTAGGCCAGGTCTAGACTAGAAATTTTTGCTGGTATAATAAGGCCTGCTACAGGTGGGAGTGCTTTGGTGACATTTCTCTAGCCCCAGTCAAGATGCAGTTTTATCCTGGCTTAAAAACGATAGCTTATTTTGTTTGGGGAGGTGATTGAACTATACCTCCAGAAACACTTTTGCCAGTATAAGCTATGTCTACGTTAAGAGGGTTTGCCACTACGGCTGTACCAGGAAATCTTTTCTAGTACAGACCTGGCCTTAATCAAGTCAAGCCCTATGCTGTGGCCACTGCTTTGAAAAAAGACTTAAGAGCCACTGATCCAAAGTAAAATTGGGCCCAGGCTGAGTCCCCAGCCCTCCTTCTGGGCATGTGATCTTGGGGGAACCGCTGACAAGTGCAGTGAACGTCCTGCACCATCGAAGCAGCCGGAGTTATGGCCTGTGTTTTCACCCCGAACACAAACGTAATGAACAAAACTGCAGCTTTGGGGCATAAGGGGGAGCGAATGACAGCAGAAATGAGTTCTGGCTGCAGAGGCTAGTGGCCCTTTTGTCGTGAGAAAATAGAGCTGTGTGACAAAGCTCCACTTTCAACCTCTACCTGATGAACGTGTTCATCCACTGATGGAAGTGAGGCCTGAGCTCTGTCTCACTTTCTTGGGAGCTGTTACAGAGGAAAGCTCTTCCAGGCCCAGGTACCCCGTGTAGTGATGGGAAATGCTTCCCTCACCAGGTAAACATAGCTACAGAGACAAGAGATTTTATTGTGTTTTATTTAGTAAAATGTTAAAATAAATAAATACAAATTGATCAGATGCTCTGTATCCCTCTCCCCCTCCCTCCCCTCACTTTAATTTGCTAAAATCTAAACACAGTTGTACCAAAACAAACCACAAGGGACTTGAAGGCTACAGAGAGAAGGCAGCAAAGAGACTGCAATTCACTATTAGCATCAGGCTAAAAAAAATAGAGATATTTAAAAAAACCAAACCAGCTCACGAGTCAGTATTATTCTCATTATGCAATTCTGTGAAAACAAAGTGGTGCCATTCAAAAAAGGGTATTTTACACCAAGGCCTGCAATGATATGGGATTCTCAGAAATGGGAGGGAACACGAGACGCTGGGGTTGTCTGGCACGAATGACAAATGAGACAGAGGTGAGGAGAGGTTGGATGGTATTTGGATATTAAGGTTCTTCATTCCTGTTCATGACTAAATATGTCACATATGGCTGTGGAAATCTATTCAACAAAAGACAAAACCTGCTACTTTTCCTGGTAGTGCCCTGGAGCACCAAGGAAGTGCTGCTGCTCTTTTACATGCACTTGCACTTGCACTGAAGGTGCTAGTTTCAAGTGTAACCACTCAATCCTGCTACAGGTATATGGGATGTTGAGGCCATTGCCTTATTACTGAAATGAAGGACCCCTCAAAAACAGCTGCTTTCCTGTTTCTTTATCTAGAACTCAGTGCTCAAATTATTATTAGCCTCTTTGATCTTTTCCCCTTCTACAGCGACTTGGAATTAGCTCACAGGTAGGTGTAACATAGCCAGGGGCTGAAGGCACAGGCAGGGAGTGTGGGATCTGTTACTAAAGAGCATTTCAAGAAAGGTGAGTGGGAGAGGGTAAGATGGCTCAGGTGACTGGAACTAAGATACGGCGTCTTTCACTTCTAGCTCAACGGCCTCAATATGAACCATGACAATTTTAAAGCTGGTCAGGGCCCATGGGTGAAATGAGTTACTGGGTCTCACTGCAGCTCCTAGTGGACCAATGTCTACATCACCAAGTCCATCACGTCGTCATTGGCACTAATTTTACCTTTCATTAGCATATGCAGCCAAGGTCAAGGACTGATTTGACCCCAGAAATAGTGTTTACACCTGGTCCCTGTCTGTAAAGAAGCGTGTTCAAACATGATGTTAATCCCTCAGCCATGGTGCTCCTTCATAACCCACTGTACTACTTAGCTTGGCCTAGTCCTTTTCCAAAGGGCTGGATTCTCTGCCTGTGTCCTCCACTGCAGTCACTGTACAACTAGAGCTCAGCCACTCCTTCCTTTCACACCAGGGCTAAACCCCTCACCATCAACAATGACAGGTTTAATTTTTGCAGTGAGATTAACTATCCTGTGTGAGGTATCTCACTGTAAAATCTTAAGTGGAGACAAGGCACTTGTAGCATTTATGGTGAGGTAAACTAGGGGAGATCAACCCTATACTCCCACCCGTAACTGACTCTGCCTAGGTTACCTCCCTGTAAAACTACGGGTGCCTTGTCTTCCCTAGTTTTTTCCAGCATGACAACACACATATTAGGTAGCCCATGGTAAAAACATTTTTTTGTCAGTGAAGCTATAGCCTGAATGTGGGAGCTCAGAGCAGAATCTCCAGTAGTGTATGACTGGATGGGGCTGGTGGGTTCCGGCTGGGAAGCTGGCATTGTTCTTAGGAGATTATTTTTAAATTGCCCTAAGGAGCCCTGGCTGCCTGTCATGGGTGGTACAGGGAGTGACCCAGAGGCAAAGTAAATTTTGAAAGGGAAAGGTCCATGTTAAATTCTGCTCCAAGCCTGAGAGTCAGTCAACTACTTTCAACACCATTATAATTAAAATGAGGAAACATGTTTCAGAATTACAGACTAGCAAGCAATAACATGCAGACTTCTGCTCTGTTCATCTATTACTGTTATATACCCATTCACTCAGTGTTGTCAGTTCCTGGTGACCAAAGAATGAGAAAAACACTTGGCCCTTATACAGCAAGTGTAGAATTACCACCCCTATTACTATTTAATAGAGAGGGAAACTGAGGCATTGAGGGTTTTTTTTTTTCAAAAGTGGCAGCTGATTTTTTTGGGTGCCCAACTTGAGACACCTTCATTTTGATTTTCAGAGGTACTGAGCCCAGGCAGCTTCACTTGCTTTAACTGGAAGTGTGGGTGCTCAGTACAGTACTTCAGAAAAATCTGGCCCTTGCTCTTACACTAGCTACCCAAAAATCAGAGGCAACTGTTGAAAAATTTCCCCTGGAGACTTACCCAAGGCCACCCAATAAACACGTAGCAGAGCTGGGATTATAACTTGGGAGTTACTCGGTCCTAGCCTTCTGCTCAATCCACTGCGCATCTCTGCTTGCTTAGTGAGAGTAGAATCTCTCTCTTTTCTGGCTCAGAGGCACCAGCCAATTCTTCATTTTTTCCAGCAACACGGCTAAAGGAAGCTTTCTGAATACCAGAGAACAAAGGAGTAGGAAGTGGCTGAGTTTATGCTGCCTGCATTGTAAATAAGTAAATAAAAGTAATTTTAAAAACCGAACGTGGTAAAAACACTGCTAAAATGACAGGAGACTGGCATCAACATAACAACCTGGACCAGTTAGCAGCCTTTTCTTGCCCTTTGTCCACTTAGACAGTGAATGCTTCTGGGCAGGGGGTCTTTGTTTCTGAAGCACCGCCACACATTTGGGCATTACAGAACTAGTAAAAATAGTAACAATGGAGCAATTGTTCCCTTACCTGTGCACTGAATTTGTGTGAGAAGTATCCCCAGTCTGGTACCAATGCACGGCTTCTTAATTTACATCGATGCTCCAAGAGATTCTGGCAGTGGGCCCACCCCCTTGCTGCTGCTTCGCAAGACACTTGCCTTTTGTCTTTTGAAGCGCTCGCCTAAATTAGGGAAATTCCTCTTTTGGAAAAAGAATCAAACCAAGTCACAGGAGAGGTCAAGATAGGAAAAGAGAGTACCTGTCCCTCTGGGTCCTAGGGCCAGCCCCTTTACCTTCAACCCTCTAACTGCAGCACTGCTCCTCTGGGATATTTTCTATGCTTTTATTTTACCTTCCCCCACCCCCGTGTCATTTCTCCTTTCCCTCCCATCTATTCTCCCTTTTCTCTTCCTACCCTAGCTCTTCCCCTCTGTTCCTCCCCTTACTCTCTGCACCACACATGGACTCTCAGGCCTTTACATGCCCCTGCTCTGAGAAAAAGGCTCCCTTTTGTTTCCCCCATGCCCATCCAGTGTTCCCCTCCAGAACAGGGAGGTGAGGAGAAACACAGATGCTGGGCGAGGCAGGTCAGTAGCTCCTGTACGTGGTGGCAGTATGGCTGAGCATGTGTGTCTTTAGGCTTATCATTCGCTGCACTGCCCAGAATCATAGGCTGTGTTTACACTAGCATTTTTTCCTCTAAAAATATCCTACTGTTGCTACCACTGCTCCAACCTTCACCCATGAGAGCACTAGCGTAGACCAGCTGTCTGTCATTTAACCCTAGCAGTGTAGGTTCAGGCAACATAGCAGCTGGAAAACCAGAGGGTCATCAGAACCTTGCCTACAATAGAGCTCCTGCTGTTGCTGCCTTTAGTGGAACTTCAATGCTGGGGAAACATAGGGAAAAAGGCTTGTTGTTTTAGTGATCTATTAATACCATGCACACCAATGCAATGTATAAATAATTATACTTTATTGTGTAAGTTCCAAATATGTGCTCATATATGCTCATCCTGGACACAAAAAATACAGACAGTCCTTGTCCCAGTCTACAAGATGAAATGGGAAAGATGGGATGCACTGGGTAGCCCACAGGAGGGAATGCCAGAGAAGGATTTATGAAGTATCACATCCCTTCTTGTGGACGTTATCAAAGTAAACCTTTATATGAGGGATCTGAATGAAAAGAGGGTGGAAGCTTGGAGATCTATAGGAGCAGGAGCTCCAGAGCTAATTCCTTGGGCACTTCCTGTTCTACATCTGATGACCAACAGCATGGATCTGAGGCAACATGCTGCAGCTGCTCAGCCAAAGTGCATTTAGAGATTTAGCTTTCTGTTGGAGAGGCCTTAGAAGCCGTTGTGTCTTCTAAATAGAGAAGACTGCAGAGCCCACTTCTGGCTGGTGATACAGCTTGTGAATGGCCTTGGGTGCGGCAGTTTGCTGATCAAGTGAGCCCAGGAGTCCTTGATAATGCCAAGCAAGTCAGGTGCAGGGGAAAACATTTATCCTTTCTCTTTGGGTTGAAAAAGCCATCTATGCAAATCCTCTTCTGTACAGAAAAATCCAGGAGGAAGCAGTCTTGGGAGTAAGTTTTCTGTGACAACCTGGCAAGCCTGAACTTGCCTTAAATCCTCAGTGTTCAAGAAGCCCTTAAAGCCTGATTACCAGACTATAATTGCTATTGCCAGCAGGACAAGGGGAGGGGAAGAAGGGACTGAGGGAGCTTTATAGTGGATGTGGCTTGGGCATCCCTCTTTTGGTGGGAAGAAAGTAGTACGATTACTGGAGAAGCTCATAAGGGTGGGGGAGCAGTAGAGCTCATCGTGGCTGGGCTGCTGAGGGAGTATTTAGCATGTTCCCCTCATGGATGTGTGAAGAGGCGGGAGGGAGAGCCAAGAGGCTGGTGGTAAAATTATTTATGGTGCAGGAACACCTTGGAACCGCTGCTATTGAGGCTCTTCTTGCTATGGTGGCGCAGGAAGAGGCTCTAACTGTAGCTCAGGCATGCTGGACTTCTTAGTAGACCACATGTAGTGCCAATGATTGAGTCTCATCAAACTAGCCCTGGTCTGGGTCCTGGAAGGTGGCCAAAGGAGAGTTGGGCCCACTGCTCACCTCAGACCCCATATCAGCCAAAATTCTTGTCTGTGCCCTGAGCGGGAATGGGGATAGAGCTGAAGTGCCTGGGGCAGGTGCAACAAAACATCCTACCCTATGCCTGGTCACGTCATCACTACTCTTCTGTGCTTTGAGAAGGCTGGACCAGGGAAGCCTCCAGCAAAAACAGTTTAGGTTTTGACATCTGAATATTCCATTTTTAAAAAATAGGTTTAATTTTCACACTGTATTAAGCTGGTGCTGAGAGAGCAAATCAAACATGGTTCAGCCTTGCTAGGGGGTACACCTGCAGTGCAAATTCATTGACGATGTTTTGCTACATCTGTATTATAAGGACACCTTCATTTATTCCACATACCTCAGGCAGCCACAAGAGGAGGATTTCACTCTGGGCTTTGTGAATGCTGGCCAGGCTTGGAGTACAAGGGATGGGCCTCGGACAGTCCCTGGAAGACGCTGATCTGAAGTTGAGGAGGCCAGGATTAATGTTCACATCTCCAGACAGCTTGGATATGGATTTGCTTTCTGAAGCCTTGTCATACTGTCAATAAAATACATCACTGACTTCCTGTCAACAACTAATCTAACAGATCTGCCCACAAAATCTCCACAACCATGTAACTCTAGGTAGGCAGATGTAAATTATCATCATTACCAATAGAGTCATGTTTGCAACTAAGAGCGAATAAGATTCTTGTGTTGCTCATGTAACAGATCCTGTTAACCAGGATTCCCTAGGTGCAAAGCATTTTATCCTACCACTGATAATTACCTGTCAGTGATGCACTCACAGAACCATTAAGTCTCCTACACTGTCCACCAATAAACCATACCGGTACTACTTTGTGATTGTCTGTTTTGTACAGCACTGAGCACACTGCTGGCTCTAAACAAATAACAACTCATCATCATACTAAGTATTCTGTCAAGGCTACGTGATATCCCACAAATGCACCTTCCAGACATTTTAAGAACAGATTGCAAGGATAAGGGAAAAGCTGTTTCTAAAATTCACTTGTTCTTTTTCTGAGCAGGGAGAGAGGCAGCATGACTTAGTGAACTGAGCATTGGGCTGGGAGCCGGAGATGCATCTGATACCGACTCCTTTTGTGGCCTCACTTTAGCTCCCTGCCTCAGTTTCCCCATCTTTAAAATGGGAATAAGAAGTCACCTACTCCTGGCAGTGATATAAGGATTAGCTAAATGTCCATATGCTGCTTAGGAAATACAAAATACTAAGTATTATTATATGTAGCTTTCCATATGGCCTCAGTTCAGAGAAATTTAGAATTGGAGAGGTTTCAGCACCATCAGACCATACCAAATATGACAGGAAAGAAAAGGCAGCAGATAGTAATGCAAGCTAAAAGCTAACTACCAAACAGTGGTAATTTCTGCATTGTTTGGGACTCCTTTGAGCAGCTGAATATAGATATAGATATATTATTTTCTATTTAGTAAATGTCAATTCCCTCAGTGCCCAATGTTTCCAGCTGGACAGCAGTGGCTCCTGTTTACTTAATGTCTGTGCAGCAGCAGCATTGCTAATGTCAGCACAGCTCTTGGAATGGTACTTGCCTATTAACTGATGTTGCTGCAGAGCCAATAGGGGAAGCATACCAAAAAGGATCAGAGAGAAGGAAACAATCTACCAGAGACAAAAACTCTAACCTAAGACCATTTCTCTGCCAGGTCATAGTGGAACTGACGGTAGGCTTTTGTAGTCTGGAGAATTTTTTCTAACAAAAACTTTAACATGGGTAGAAATTAGACTTAAGTAAATTGACGCATCTCTTCAGAGCCTAGAGACAAGCAGACACCCTCAGAAAGGGACAGTGGGTGTGTTCACAGGGATGGAATGAAAAGGGCAAGGTATTAACAGCTCCTGGGTGCTGCACTGCCTTTCAAAACAAGTAAGACCAACACTGAATTCCAACCTCAGCCCCTTCCAGTAACAGGCGGAGGAGAAATCAAACCAGTTTTCAGCCTTCAAATGCATTGTGACCCCCAATGTCACATTGCTCCAAACAGGACTGTGAAAATAACACTGGGGGAATCACAGGAACATGGGAATTGCCATGCCAGGTCGGACTGGGGGTCCATCTAATCCAGTAGCCTGTCTCTGACATAGTATCTTCAGAGAGAGGTGCAAGAAACCTCTCTGTAGTGGCTGGCTTATGCCCTAAAGCAAGAGGGCTTATATCCCTAGTTTATTTTCTCTCATTATCCTTATAAATATTGGATCCTTTAAAAATTCTACTAAGCAATTGGCTCCAATGATACCTTGTGGCAATGAGTTACACAGGTTAATTGTGTGTTGTTACAAACAAACTATTTCCTTTGATCAGTTTTAAATTTGTTTCAAGGGCTGCGTTCCTGCTTTGCCACTCCTGCTAACTGTCTTTGCTGCTTAGCTGGCTTCAGAACAGAACAAAGACATTTGAAGATAAAGTCTAGTTTATCATAGGGTAAGCTGAGAAGAGCACACAAGAATTCCTCTTCCAAATCTACTGACAAATGTAAGAACTGAGGATCAACTCCTGGGCTCAGAGCTGAAAAAAGTGTGTGTTCACATCACTGGAGAAGGGGAAGTGTCCTTGAGGAACAAAGTCCTAGTGAAAACAGACACTAAAGGAGAGTGAAGGAAACAGCGCCAAGAATCTTCAAGAAGCATATGCAGCTGTGGCTGCAGTGAGATTCTCAGGCTATGTCAAGGTCAGGGTATTCACTCTGCTTTGCCCAGAACATAGTAGGCAAAATGCAAAGCTTTGCCACCACCAGAGCAGGTCTACCTGGTTATTGAAACACATGCACCACTCACCACCACACAAGGAGCTCTGCCTGAGTCCCTCTGCATAGTGTGCCAAACATTGCTCCCACTGAAGCCAGAGGGAGTTTGGCCCAATGTATTCATATGCATTAGCAGAACTGATAGCCACTGCATGTCCAGCACTCTTAACTGACACAAACAATCCCTGTAACAATGGAACTCACAAGATATGCTCTGCTACCCCCAGTCACACTAGAATATGAAAGAGATGGAATTCTGAAATAAGGTGATATGACAAAAGGAGATTTCAGGTGTAACAAATCCACTGTCTTTCATCCCAATTAATTCTACACCTGTGCTCTAATCAGTCCATATTTAAATATTACAAAAGCATAAAGGCTTTAACAATCAAGCTGCCAGTGCTCTTTTCTGGGCTACTAACACACAAAAGAATGGGGACATGTGATAAAAGGAGAGACAACACAGAGAGTTCCTCCTGATGGAGAGTGAGTTGCAGCACTTAGAATTCAGCCAGTGGCATGTATGATATAACCTACGGAAACCTGCCCCAGGGGATTTTAAAACACAAACACAGCAGAATGTCATCATAATAGGCAAAGTCTGTGTCAAAAAATTCTAAGCACACAGCATTTTCTCCAGTTCTGACACCTTTTTAATAGAAATCACTTGTTTAGGAAACAAATAGCACTTTTATAATTTTTACAATGTTTCTTACCTTGATCTTATTTTAAGTAACACTAGGAAGACCTCAATATCTTTTATTTTCCTTTTTAATTTAAAAAAAGTTGTTTTTTCCCCAGATACAAAGATTTTGCCCTTGCATAAAAAAACAGTGCCCAAAACGATGACACAAGGACTCACAAAGACTCACTGTATCTCACTGACACTATTACTTCTAATCTATACCATGCAAGGTCCCATCTACCTCTTTAATTAGACTGTCAGCCTGAATAACAGCTTTTCTATTCCTTATTTATTTTTCGTTACCAAAAGAAAGAGAGGAAATGAAAGAAAAGGACATTTCTCTGTTCAGTTCACACATCTGGGTCATGTGCTGCTTTGTTCAGGATATTTTTGTTGTTTTATAAATATAGAAAAGGGTTGGAACCTCGTTTTCAAGTAAAGTCATTGATGCACATTTTCCCTTGAGACACCCCTTTCAATGCTTCAACTCAACCATTTTGGTCCCCTCTTCTCCCTCTCCCAACAAAGGCTTCCTGGATCAACTTGAAGATCCAAACCAATCCAATTCTCCAATGCATTTCATTTGTCTAGTGTTAAGAAACAGGGTTAACCCAAAGCTGCCAGGACAGAAAATCCCCAGCCTGCACATGTGCTCGTTACTCAGTGAAAAATCCATCCCCATTTTGTTTTGTACATCTCCTGTCTAAACAATAGTAAATACTGCTTATTTGATAGACTTGTCCCCTCTGGGCACTGGGATTTGTTAATTTATACTTCTGTTTTTTGGTTTAATAGTACTGAGAGTTTAGAAACAGGAAAAGCCCACAGGCTCTTTGGACTTATTTTTTCCCTAGCTAAACAAACTGTTCTGCAAATAAGGATTTGAAACCTGCTCTCCTCCCTCATCCCTGCTCCTCACCCCAAACAAAAATAAAACAAACCTATAGTGGCTGTGGAGGCTGCTGCAGGCACACACTGGTGTAAAATATAGAGAGAGTAAATATATTATTTCACTTGGCATGGTGCTGGCAAAGAACCCCCAGCTGGCACTATTCATGTAACATGATCCAAACTTTGCATGTACACACAGAATAAGAAGGATCAATTGGCAAACTCCGGTGCCGCCTGGCACAAGCATCTTCACGCTCTCTCTGGAACCAAAGAACTAAAGAATTCTGCACTTTCCAGAAGAAATCCGGTTTTGCTTTTCTAGAGTTTCATTATTTTGCTGCTCCTCCTCGCCGCCACCTCCCTCGGCTCCTTCTTACTCCACTGTGTTATTTAGTCTCATCGCCTTTGTTACAGTTCACCATGCAGCCCTGGGAAGGGGCTGGGGCTGGGGCTGGGGTGGAGGCGGCAGCATTAGCACTGTTAGTTGAGTCCATGCCATTGGAGATGGCTACTGAATTGACCTCAGAGTTTATGGATTTTGAAAGGTCAATGCCTTGGATGAGGCGGACCAGCTGTTTTACCTTCTCCAAGGAGCTGTGCATCTCCTTCTGTTTTGCCAGGATGGTATTCTTCATTTCCATACATTTCTGCAGCAAATTAGAACAACAAAAAGCTCAACCATTACACCCATAAGGAAAATTAGCAGAATGGAAGAGGGTAAGGAAAGGAATTTGGATGTTCATCAACCCAGGTATAGGCATCTAGCAAGGAGGAGAGTTCCAGAAATGGCTGCACCTGGAAGTTCACTGTCCCAGCTTGGAGGAAGACAAACCTCAAAGCTGCACACACAAATTAATTAATATTTACAGACAGATAAGTTAAATTGCCAGAGCTACCACCTGCTCTGCCCCCATTTATGTCATTTCCCTTACAGATTAGGAAATCACCAGAGATGCCTCCATCCTATTGTGTTTCTTCTGGAGGAAAATATGGGATTAATGTCCAGCTGAAATTAGCAAGTTTTGATTATTTTCTATTAGTATTGCATTTCTGAAATTCCTCCAACTCAGATATGCAAATGCAGGCATCCTGTAAGAGCTGACCTTGTTGAGAGCACAGATGTCCTGCTAATGGGATAGAGCCTTGCTTCCACATACAGTTTTGCCTGTTTTAGCAGAAACATCATTCCCTCCCCATAAATAAAAAGGGGGACTTGAAGAGAGAGATGCAGTGCCCTCTTCATTTAAAAATCTTATTTTCTTGCCATTTTTTTCTTGCATGTTACAAAAAAAAAAAATCATCAAGAAGCTCTAACAACAGGCAAGGCAAATTAACTTAACCACTTGATGTCAGGAGTCCATGGTTGAAACTCACTAAAAGAAAAAGGAGAAGGTAGCCAATACCTTCTCTACGGATGTGGTTCAATTTAATGATGTATAAACCACATAGGCCCCAACAGATGTCCTGCAGAAAGATGGTATCTTTTTTAAAAAAGTTTTGAAGCCTTTTGTCTACATTGATCTTCAAACCCTCCTGGTCTGAGTCCAACTTTTAACATGTATATGACAGCAGCAGAAAAACCACCACCACAACTGGAACTAATTGGCCCCACGTTGGCAGTTTGAGTTAGGTAAATAATGTGTGGTCCATGGAGAGTAGACTGCCCCCTTCACCTATAAATAGTTCTTCTAGGTCAGGGCTGAAGCACATTGGTGAGTGGGTGCTGCCCATGCACTGTTGCTTGCCACTTTCTGGTGATAAAGATAACGTTTTAGTCCCCAAAGCTGTTAATCCAGCACCTTTCACCACTATGATATTTACTTTCTTAAAAGGATATAGGTAGCCTTTCCATATATATTATCTGAGTTATTCTACTATGTTCAGCATTAGATATCTTTGGACATCAGACACCTTATAAATATTTTTTTAAATAGAAAAAAATATATCCCAAAGTATGTGAGGGTGAGTACAGTGAAATACATTAGAAAAGACAGTTACCTTTCTGTAACTGGTGTTCTTTGAGATGTGTTGCTCATGTCTATTCCACAACAGGTGTGTGTGCTTGCCACGTGCACTGGTGCCGGAAGTTTTTCCCCTAGCAGTACCCGTAAGGGAGCGCTCCAGTGACCCCTGGAGTGGCGCCTTCATGGCGCGGTATAAGGGGCACTGTGCACTCCCCCCACCCTCAGTTCCTTCTTGCCAGACAACTCTGACAGAGGGGAAGGAGGGCGGGATGTGGAATAGACATGAGCAACACATCTCGATGAACACCAGTTACGAAAAAGGTAACTGTCTTTTCTTCTTCGAGTGATTGCTCATGGGCATTCTACAATAGGTGATTCCAAGCTATATCTGTTGGAGGTGGGAAGGAGTTCACAATTTCTCAGGCCGGAGCACAGCCCTGCCAAACCCAGTGTCATCCCGGGTCTGGGAGACGATCGCATAGTGTGAGGTGAACGTGTGAACTGAAGACCATGTAGCAGCCCTACAAATGTCCTGAATGGGGACATGGGCCAAGGTGGCAGCCGACGAGGCCTGCGCCTGAGTCGAGCGTGCCTTCACAATTGGTGGTGGAGGCCTGAGTCCCCCTTTGGCCTTCGGGATAAGGAAATAGCAGGAGTAGTACCCCTTGCCTTTGAACTCCCCGGGTACCACTTCCATCACTCCTAGGCCCAGGAGCTGCCCCACCTCCTGCTCGAGCAGAGCCTTGTGCGAGGAGTCTCCTAGGAGGGACGGGAGTGGTTGGGAGGGAAGGAAGTAAACTGGAGGGTGTAGCCCTGGGACATGGTGTTGAGGACCCACTGGTTCAAAGTCAGCCGCGACCACTCCGGGAGGAAAGCACACAACCGATTGGAGACGGGAAGCTTTATTGAAGGTGGATCCCTGTTGAGAACTGGCAGGGCGCCCCTGGGCATCCCGTCAAAACCGCCTTTTCCCCATTTGCTTGCCCTTGGAGGACCCAGGCTGGGGGGCAGGCCGAGACTGCCTCTGTGGGTGCCTCTTATAGTCCCGCGACTTCTTATAAGCGGTCTCGTATTTTGGGTGATTGGCCTGAGCAGGACTCTGCTGCAGCTTGAACTTAGGTTTAGCTGGAGCCGGAACATAGAGACCCAGAGTCTGGAGAGTCGTGCGGGAGTCTTTCAGACCATGCAGCTTTGTATCTGTTTGTTCCATAAACGGAGCTTTGCCGTCAAACGGGAGGTCCTGCAGGGAGGTCTGTGCCTTGCTGGACAACCCAGAGAGCAGGAGCCATGGCGCCCTTCTCATGGACACCGCGGAGGCCATGGACCACGCGGCCACTGCATCCAAAGCTGCCTGCAGGGTTGCCCTGGCAGCCGCTGTACCCTCCTCCACCAGCGCTTTGATCTCCTTCCTGTCGCACTCCTGGACGGAGTCCTCGAACTTGGGCAGGGAGCCCCACAGATTGAACTCATACCGGCCCAGGAGAGCCCGGAGGTTTGCCATCCATAACTGGAAGCTCGAGGACGAATACATTTTTCTTCCAAAAGAGTCCTGCCTCCTTGAATCTTTATTTTTCGGGGTAGGGGCTGGTCGGCCCAGCTGTTCTTCTGGTTGACCAACTCGACCACCAGGGAGTTAGGAGTAGGGTGGGTGTATAAGTATTCATGCCCCTTGGCGGGTACAAAATACTTGCATTCCGCTCTCTTAGAGATGGGGGCCAATGAGGCCAGGGTTTGCCACAGGGCATTTGAAATTTTCGCCACCCCTTCATGGAGAGGCAAGGCCACCCTGCCCGGTGCCAAGGAGGACAGCACGTTAAACAGGGAGTCCAAGGGCTCCTCCATCTCCTCTGCTTGGAGGTGGAGGCTTGATGCCACCCTTTTTAAGAGTTCTTGGTGGGCCCTAAAGTCCTCCTGCGGGATGGATGGAAGAGGGGCCGTAATCATCTCATCCGGGGAGGATGAGGAGACCAATGCGGTACTTTGGGTGTCCACCGGCACCGGAGGGTCCACCACCTGGTTGGTCTCCGGGCATGGTGCCGAGGATGTACGTCCCACCGACTCCTTCCTTGGAGGTCTGGAGAGGGAGGCCGATGGTCTTTCTGAAGCTCCAGCCCCGAGTAAGCCCCCACCAGGGGCTGTCGGGGGCCACGGTGCCCACTGGCACCATTGGGCCGGCCACAGGGCCCGGTGCCACTGCACCTGCTGCGGCACCGGTGGAGCCAGCTGTACGGCCTGGCTGGCCTGACCCATCGATGGACGACTACGAAGAGAGGCCAGGCTGACATACGACCTGCCACTGTCCCTGGAATGGGCGGAGTGGCGGCGCCGGGAGCGATGCTGACCATTGGACAGTGATCCTGACGTGGCGGACCGGTACCGTCGGTAACAGCTGCTCCATGATCAGCTACGGCGGGCAGAGCCGCGACGGTGAGACACTAGTGATCGATGCCCGGGTCTGCGGAGGCGGTGCCGTGGCGTGGTCCTGGAGCGGGACGACGACATTCGTGCTGTGACTGGCTGCGATAGCAGTCTGCGATTGGCGACGTCTGTCTCGGTCCCGTCAGTGTTCGCTCCTTGAGGCGGAGCGGTGCCGAGAGTCTCGGTCAGACGGAACCCAACCAGACAGCCTGGTGGGCGTTGAGGGTGATCCACGTGGACTTTGCCCTGAACGGTCGCTGGGCAGCGAATGGCGTCGGGAACATTCCCTTGACCGAGATCGGTACTGAGCCGGGGGCGACTGTGGAGATCCCAGCGGCGGCTTGCCCCTCGAGCGCGGGGCCAACATCGGCGGTGCTCCTGGTACTGGCATGGACATGACATAATCCGGGCTGCCTGCAGGGCCTCCAGTGTGGAGGGCATCCGGACATCTGGGGAGGCCTGCTCTGAATGGGCCGGGCTACTCCGCTCGACTTGAGTCAGAGGCCTACAGGCCAGTGGGGATCAAGGACTGCCCGACGTGGGTCTAGCCTCTGTCCTGGGTTTACTCTGGTGCCGCGGTGAAGGCCTCTTCCTAGCCTTCTTGGCGTGCCCAGTGGACAGGGAGCGGTGTCGACTAGTCGATGGTGCCAGAGGGTCGCCGCGCACCAACACCGCGGTGCCGACTCGGAGCAGCGCGCCGGAGCAAGTGTCAGCGCCAACTCCATCAGGATAGCCTGGAGCCTAATGTCCTTTTCTCTCTTGGTTTGAGGATTAAACGACTTGCAAATCTTGAAGTGATCGCTGAGATGGGTTTCCCCCTAACAGCGTAGACAGTCCCCGTGCAGATCATTCAGTGGCACAGATCGCCTACAAGTGTTGCACGACTTAAAACCTGGGGCATGGGGCATGCCCCGGCCCGGGCGCTCTAGCTAAACTAAACTAACTAAACAACTAACTAACTACAGGTACCATACACTGAACGAATAAGCAGTTTTGGGGACGAGCTACAGGAAAGCTGGAGCAGAGCAGTTCCAAAGCACCTTCACTGGCGGCAAGAAGGAACTGAGGGTGGGGGGAGCGTGCAGCACTCCTTATACCGTGCCATGGAGGTGCCACTCCAGGGGTTGCTAGGGCGCTCCCCTACGGGTACTGCTAGGGGAAAAACTTCCAGCACCGATACACGTGGCTATCACGCATACCTATTGTGGAATACACATGAGCAATCACTTGAAGAAGGACTGTATGATGTTGCAAATGTTGGCTATGGAACAGAACTTAGCATTTATAGTTCTCTGATATTAACATGGGACCTCCTGAGGGGCTCATGTTTATATGTGGTGACTTAGGAGTCCACCTTGTGTGTGATGATGAGAGAAAGTTACATGCTAACACATAGGTTCTAGTTATTACTGTTACAAAACAAGGTGGAAAACCTAGTTTCTGGTTAGGGGGAAAAAGTGTGGGAAGTTGTAATTAACGTTAAGCAGGGGCACCCAAAGTTTGCCCAAATGAAGACTGCCTTGGTCACTTGTCAGGAATCTGAGGGCCAAACCTGTAACATGGAGACCACTACCGTTGCTTTAATTTTAGATATGATGGGGCCATGCACCAATGCAGTAAGTCCCACCATGCAATTTGGCCTACTGACCCAGAATAAAATGAAGCATCAGATATTAGGACCTGTAGCTACTTAGGCTGCTCCTCTGTAATAAAAATAAGAGCCATAGAGTCCACTATACATCTCCATGGGTTATGTTTGTCAACTGTTGGTATTATGGGTTACTGTACATCTGCAAGGTACAGCTAGCATGAGTTAATGTAGCTGTACTTTAAACATCCAAAAGATCCAAAGGGCAAGAGAAAGAGCAAAGCTCAAATAGAAGCTTACCCAACTCCCACTGACTTCTATGGAAGTTGGATCAGGCCTACAGTACCAGTCTCCAGACTTATGCTCTGCCTGCTTGCATGGTGCTAGAATGAAAAGGCTGCAGAGAACAAGTGTAGCATTACAGCGGAGAAAAATACTTACTGTTATGGAATTGCTGAGCTGTTTGACCTTCTGCTCTAGTTGCTCTCTTTCTTGTTTTAAATCTGAACTCCATTTAAGTAGCTTCTGTTTCTCCTCTTCTTTTGCTGTAAAAGGGAATAATAATCCTCTCAATGATGAATATTTAAAGAGTCCCTGTTATGCCCTTCAGATGGAGTCTCTAAGCTACTTTATACAATGGACACATTGGATCATACCTGAAATTGCACCTGCATAAATGAAGAGTCACATGAAGCTTTCACAAAGGACCCAGACTGCCCTTTTCACATTATTACTTGGGTTATCAAGTAATCAATTTCCTCTTTAAAACAAGTCCTACCCAATACCATTCCTAAAATAACATTTTACAAACATGAAAGCAATGCAAAGGTGTTCTCTGTTTTCCTACCTGCTTTGTATGCAATATATGAATGAACAATTGCTAAAGTCCCTGGCCATGGGATTGCTTCTTCCTTCTTCAGCATCTGAAAGAAAAGAGTGTGTACATTTAACTGGCACACATTTTACCTCTGGGAAAGGGAGAAAGAAAAAGGGAAGAGACAAAAAGAGAGGGTGAGACAAAAGAGTTTCTTTCATGGCTATCATTAGGCACAACCTGTTAACATAATGCCTTGCAATCCTGTTCCAAGGTTCAACAGAGGGAATTATTTGCATCTGTATTATAGCCTCCACAACAGAGGCCGATTTATCACAAATGTCAGCATTTTCTCACTCCCTCATAACCACAAACATCTTCTGCTCATGAAACTTAACAGGTTAAAGAGGAATGAAAAGACAACGTATCTGATCTCAAACTTGCCAGAGGACAGGAACATGGCTTCATGGCTCAGACAAACTGCTGATCTAAGTTGTTCCTGGAAAGTCTCTGCACCACACATATGAACTTCACACTTTTAAACAGATAAGACATGACACTTTCCCATCTCCACCTGCTCTCAGGACCACGTTACTGGTGTTGCCAAACTCTCCTTATAAGGATAAGCATCATACTTATCTTTAAGAGGATACACAGATTCCCTCTTAAGATACCTTATTTAGGGAGGAAGAATGAATCATGGTAGCTCACCAGAGGAATGACCCAGGGGACTGAGGCTGGAATCACTCTAAAGCAAAATGTCTCTGACACTTTTTAATTTATTTTCTGGTAATTTTTCAGTAAAACATAAACCGGCGCTGGTGGTGATGGGGGTGAGTGTGAAAGCAAGGCTGTGCCCCCTCCTCCTTCAGCTACAACCATGTTGAGTAATTTAATCTACTGGGAGTTTTTGTTTGTTTTTTTGTTGCGTTATGTAACATGCATGTGGAAATGCCAGGTTGCTTTCTTATGCTATCATCTGGTTAACAGAGGCTCACATGGACTACTAAGGCACTCACTTAGGTAGGGTGACCAGATGTCCAGATTTTATAGGGACAGTCCTGATTTTTGGGTCTTTTTCTTATATAGCCTCCTATTACCCCCCACCCCTGTCCTGATTTTTCACACTTGCTGTCTGGTCACCCTTCTCTTAGGTCAGACAGTAAGTTAATAGCTTTTGGCTGCTGGTTTAACAGCAATCCATTGTAATTCTTGAAGTTCCAAAATAGGGGAAATGAAAACAGTAGTTTATTTCTTTATCTTGTAATCTTTATGCCATTAATGGATGAAATATCATCTCATTATTCCAATCCATTTGTATACTTTTACAGAGAGATTTTGAGGGAAGAACGTCCAAGTCATTCATCGACAGTCGTGATTCTGACACCGGATGTACCACGAAAGAGAACAGGAATGACAACCTCTCTAATGTTTGGGTTTTACCAGGAAGCATTGGCTCAGTATTTTCTCTCTAAGGGTAGGCTTGTGCAAATATCCTATTCACTTTGGACAAAGAACTACCACCTTTCAGAGAAATTCTGAGTAAAAAAGCTACAGGAAAATCCTTATGGGTCATAGAGAACCTTTCCCAAAAGTTTGTGTGCTTTGCCCCAGAAAAGCAGAGTTGAAACACAAGGGTAACACAAAAGGACCCTGAGTCTGGGAGCACAAAAGCAAGACTTAAAGGCTTAGTATTTGTGAGCATTCGAACAGCGGCAATTTGATGAAATTCACACAAGCCTAATTATAGATCAAATAGATTTGCTCAATGTCAGGCTGTTCCAATCTAACTAAGCCAAGTGATCAGGTTATTTTCTTTAACTCGGAAAATCTTTGTAGTGCACTGTGTGTAACTCCCTATCTTTCAAACAATACCTGGTCTTGACATTTGGGACAGATCCACATGCCCTTGGGAATGGTTTTCAGAGGTGGGTCCAGACAGTCCAGGTGATACACACGTGAACATGTGTCACACATCAGCAACTGCCCGCTTTTCCTGCAAACACTGCAAAAATCCTCATGGATATCGCCCTATAAAATTGAGGGAAGGGGGTGAGAAAGAAGAAGGCAAAAAGTGAACTTTGACCTTTGACATCTACATCCTAGTTGAATGTAAACGCTTCAGCACAAGCTACAGCTATGGGATTCTATATGGCAAAGTTCTTTTTAGGAGGTGTAACCGGAAAACCAGCAAGGATGTCAGAAATACAACTCCTTCTGCTCTCCCCAGGTGAGACGCCCTAGTGAATATTTGTTACCACAGTCTCTAGTAACAATCCCTACCCCACCATCCATCTTAGTTAGGAAAATGCTCAATGGTTTCAGCCTGCACTGGAAAGATACCCACTTTCCTTGGTGCTTCTAATCTTTGGATGTAAGCACAGCTCCATGTGGGGAGCATACAAATGAGGTTGCCTCTTGTCCACAGTCTTTCCTAAGAAACCCACAGAGGGCAATATTGAACTTTAAAACAACACCAGTAAGTATTTAGAGCACATATGTGACATCTTTTCAAACTGTTATACTGAAAGAGAAAAGTACTCTGATTTGTAAATTAAAAAGAATGGACCCAATTCATCCCTGAGGTAACTCCTTTAACTTCACTGAAGTTACATCAGGATACATTTAGCCCATTATATTTTAAAATCCATTGCCCCAACCCCACAATGACTACTGATTTCTGCTTCATCATTAACCAAGGCCTGTGAGGGGCAGAACGAGGGGATATCAAAGGTTCACAAAACCAAGGGGGGAAAATGTTATTTTTAGCCATAAGAAGCTTTCACAAGGAACTGAAAAGTTAGTAGATAGTGTCCTTTTAAAAATCTATGTTTTACTATTTTTGCATTATCAGTGGAGGCACTTCCTTTCCCCAACTATTCACTCTTCAAGGACCCTCCCCCACAATGCAAAATTCATGGCAAGGTTAGGTTATGTTTTTATCTCTTTACTCCTCTCTCTCTTTCCTCCCATCATTCCCATCTCATGCTTTTGTGATTTTTAATAAATAGATGTTTGAACAGAAGAACACACAAGGAAAACAACTTAAAAACCAGAGAGAGGAACAGGGACACCCAAATTCTACACTTTATTCACCTGCAGGGCTGCTCTGGCAACTTGCCACACCTAAGACCCAATGTCTCAAGCCCTCAGCACATGCAATTCTCACTGACTTCAGTGAAGTTCCATACACACAACACTTGTAGGATCTTAACCCTAATTTGTCTAAAATGAAGCAAATTGTAGCTGCATGCCTCTTTAGTATGAAATATCAGGGCACGCAATGTTCCAGTTTGACTTGAGTAGCTTGTTCACGTTTGAGGAGTTTTGCCATTTTAGAATCATTCTAGACTTTGCCTGGCTCCTATATAGTATGTGGCTGGGCAAGAAAAAGTGGATTTTTTCTTTATTAGGGATAATTAGGGCCCCACCAAATTCACGGTCCATTTTGGTTAATTTCACAGTCATAGGATTTTTAAAATCATACATTTCATGATTTCAGCCATTTAATCTGAAATTTCACGGTATTGTAATTGTAGGGATCCTGACCCAAAAAGGAGTTGGAGGGTTGCAAGGTTATTATGGGGGGAGAGGTTTGCAGTACTGCTACCCTTACTTCTGTGCTGCTGCTGACAGCAGCGCTGCCTTCAGAGCTGGGCAGTTGGAGAGCGGTGGCCGCTGGCCGGGAGCCCAGCTCTGAAGCCAGAGCCACCGCCAGCACTAGTGCAGAAGTATGGATGGCATGGTATGGTATTGTCACCCTTCCTTCTGCACTGTTGCCTGCAGAGCTGGACCCTCAGCCATCAGCCGCCACTCTCTGGCCGCCCAGCTCTGAAGGCAGCAGTGCAGAAGTAAAGGATGGCATGGTATGGTATTGTGACCTTTACTTCTGCGCTGCTGCTGGTGGGGTGCTGCCCTCAGAGCTGGGTGTCCAGCCAACAGCTGCCACTCTCCAGCTGCCCAGCTCCGAAAGCAGTGCAGAAGTAAGGGTGGCAATACCACAACTGCCCTAAAATAACCTTGTGACCTCCTCTGCGACTTCCTTTTGGGTCAGGACCCCCAATTTGAGAACTGCTGGTCTGCCCTATGAAATCTGTATAGTATAGGGTAAAAGCACAAAAAAGACCAGATTTCACAGGGAGAGACCAGATTTCACGATCTGTGACACATTTTTCATGGCTGTGAATTTGGTAGGGCCCTAGGGATAATGTATTAAATGTATGCAGCAAGAGATCCACCATATTTTCAAAGAAAATCACACACAAATACAGTCTGCTGAGATTTAACTTTCAGACTCCATGACAGATAAGTCTTACTCTATCGGGAGCTGCTCTTCGTCCCTTAACTCCCAAGGTTAACACTGCTGTCCTGTTTTCTAAAGGGTCAATCTTTCTTGAAGCTCAGTGTCATGTTTTGATTCCATAACTTCCATGAATCAAATGAGTGCAGGGTTCTGAGATCATTTAATCTTTAATACTAAAGAGAGTTCTTAAAAGTTAATTGAAGAAGCAAATCAGTGAGATTTCATGCCTCCCTTGAAATGAAATTTGTATTGCTGGGAAGAGCTTCCTTTTCCTCTTTCCTGCATTGTGTGAATGCATAGAAGGAACAGAAGGCAGACAGGAAACAAGATAAAGGCAAACAGAAAATCCTCTGCAATCCAGTCTTCAAAGGAAACTCATCCTAGACCTTTTGAAGGTCTATGTTAATGCATGGCCCAATCTTGTGAGGTGCTGAGCATCCTCAACTACCACTCAATATAATGGAAATTGAGAGCATTCTGCATGTTGCTGGGGCAATCAGTATCTTTCAGGATCAAACCCATTAAACACTGTGATATCTGATATCCTGCAGAATCAGATCTAAGCAGGTGATTTCCTTAATCTCTCATGCAAGTATCAGTTGCTCAACAATTCAGGTTTAGAACTTCTAAATTCAATGGAATGTTGAGTGATGATTCATGTAACACGATGGGTTAATAAGCGAGGTATTAATTTTCTTGTAATGCTCCATATGTACCAACTGGAATGGACACACACACACACACACACACACACACACACACACACACACACACACACACACACACACACACACACACACAC